TTTTTTTAAAGAAAATTTCCATGCTATTTTTTTTGTTTAAATTTTAGATAAATTGAAAATGAATTGAATGATGGAATTGTCTGGGATTAGTTTTTGTAAAACATTTAAATGCTTCAATGAATTATATTTGAAAAAAAAAAAAAATTAAATCATATCATCTTTTTGCATTCAAAAAAAAAAAAAATTGAAAAGATGGAATACAAACTGAGTTCGAATTACACAAATAAATAAAAATAGAAATAGGAATACTAATATGAAATGGGGAAAAAAGATATTTTACAAATAATTTTTAGCATATCAAAGCATTTTTAGAATATATTAGAATTAAGAATTTAAAATATAAAAATATTAATATAAGTATGGATAGAAGCATAGATGTATAAGTATAAATATGAAAATAAATAATATAAATATAAATATAGATATAGGGAAAATATGAAATACATATATATATATCAAAATATAAATTATATACATCGGTATCAGTATTTGTCAGTACAGCTTATTCATTTATGATAACAAATGATAAAAGTATTGGAAATTAAAACAGCAGGATGGAAGAATTTCGAAAAAGATAATCAAAAATTTAATACTTTATTTTAGTGTGGAAAGGAATAGACGAGTGAGTGAGAAGTATTTCTGTTCGCCGAATAACACCAACCATTTTATCTTTTCAGATGTTCAGACTTGCAACTCGATGAAAGTTAAAATATACTATCGTTTTTTCTTCTTCCTACTCCTTTTCTCTCTCTCCCTCTCTCTCTCTCTTCCTCTCTTCTCTTTATCGTAAATAAAACTAATTTGTTTCATCTTAAACTTAGTTTGAACATCTTTCCCACTTGAAAATCATCATTACTTTCCTCTCAGGCTTAATCTGAACATCTTTATCAGTTAAACATCCACTATCATTATCATCATCATCATCAATGTCATTATTATTATTATTACTATTATCATCATCATCATTTTCTGCCTCAATCTTAAGCTCTTCCTTAACATTTGCATCTTATTAAATAACATTGAAAAATCATGATAAGTATAGCACAGAAGTTTCAAGAAATTTGAAATGTTAAAGGTTTGATATCAACAAAGAACATGTAAGAATGATAAGGATAGCATATAACCACAGAAGTAACATTTGATCATATATTATTATCATTTAATTCTAAATCATTTCAATCTATTCCTTATCCTAAAAGATAATTTTAATAACATTATGGGTAAGATCAATTGATAAATTATCACTTCGTTGATAAAAATTCCAAGGAGAGAAATGATGAAAAATGCAAAAGAAAAAGAACTTAATAATAAAATTTTAAAAATTTCGATTTTTTATTTATTTGTTAATGAATAGGAAGAACAAACAAAATAACAACAACAACAACAATAATAACAATAACAAGAACAATAATAACAATAAGAATAACAGTAATAATAATAATAATAATAATAATAACAATAATAATAATAGCAATAACAATAACAATAAACAACAACAACAACAAGTGATAGGAATGATTTTCTTCGGTACATTACAAATTCTCATCCAAAATGCTGTAAATAACACCACCCACATGTTTTGTTTTTCTTTTTAAAAAGTTTTTAAACTTGAAGTATATAGAAATACCATCTTTAAGCTTTATCATTTTAGTTTTTAGCATCAAGAAAATCTTGCCTTCCACCACCACCACCATCATCATCATTTCCTCTTCTACACCAGGAAAAAAAGAAAAGTGAAGGACATCATCACACTTCATTTCTCACATCCACCAATTCAACCATACACAAACACACACACACACACACACATACGTAAACATACAAACATATACATACATATGGGTGTACATACACATACATGCGTACATATACACACATATATGCATACACATACATATGGATATGCATACACATATACACATACATACACGTACACATACACACATATATGCGCATACAGATATAAGATATGTGTATATCACACATACACATAAAACGCACAAAATACAAAATACACATACACATACAGACACGGATATACAACATACATATACAGACATGGATATACACACACATACACACACACGTAAACATACACATATATACAGAGATATACGCACATACGCACACACACACATGCACATATACATACGCACACATATATACACACATACACATACATGCCCATCTAAACACATATATATATACATGTCCACACATACACACACACATATACATACATTCACACATACAGACACATGCACACACAAACATATATACACATACACACACATACACACATACACACAGAGATATCATCATAGACGTTTGTTCACATTTATAAATATACAGAGAAATATTTAAACATTCATTTTTTTTTTTTAGTAATGAATGAGTCAACAATACATCTATAGAATTTTAAAATGAAAGAATTTTGGTAATTGTGTGTTTATCACAAAAAAACAAAAACCATTGTTATTGAATAATCAATCTTTTTCACTTTTTGTTTTCGTTTTTTTTTTTTTTGAAATTTGTTTTCCATTTACAAAACATATATATATGCTAATGCTTAATGGATGTATAAATAAAAGATAACATTCTAAAACAGTTTATTGTAATTATCAAATATATGAGAAATATATTAATAGAAATTTAAAAAAATTGCACTTAATTAAATCGTTTGAAATAAAAAAAGAAAAAAGAAAAAGATATTTAAGTAAATTGAAAGGAAAAAAAGATAGCTTAATTTAATTATTTAAAATTGAATGAAATTAATTGAATGAATTAAAGAAAAGGGAGGAAAAAAACTTTGCTAATTTAATTAATATAAAGGCCTGTATGAG